CCCCCCCCCCCCACACACACACACCACCATTGAAGCAATTTCAGTCCCCTTCGTTAACGAAAGAAGGGCTAAAACCAGCACCTAGCACACAACTGCTTAACTAGGGACTGAAATTGCGACAATCATATGATTGAGGGTCTAAATAGTAATTTACCCTTTTTGCTCACTTCTATTGACTACAATGGAGTATTATCATCACAAATTGCAAAAGATAGATTCAATGAAATGCCAGATCACTTTGTTGGTGCAAAAGCAGTCTCAAACAACATAAAAAGAAGATGTCTTGCAAAAGATAGCCTTCTAACCCAAACAACAAAAAAGTCAGATTTTCCTCATAAGAAGAAAGATGCGTTGATCAAGCTTGAATTTGGACATGTTCAGGGGTGCACTGCACAGCTTCAGTTGAAGTCCCCCAAAAGAAATATACACCGCCCTATGGTGACAGGATGAACAAATTTCAGATGAGCGTCCATGATAATAACTTATTTAAGTGCTTTACAAGAAAGCACTTTCTCATGTAGGCAATATAACATTGTTTTTAAAGTACCACACTATACCTTCTAAAATAAGCACAAAACGTTTAATTTTTTTTCAATGTTTGAACACACTTATTCCTTTGTGTTATCAAAACACTTTTTGGGCTCTTCTAAAAGTGCACTACCCCTCTCCTGAAGTAATGTTCGCACTGCTTTACTTTCCTAATAAAGTAAAGAATAATAGAATATCTGGTCTGCCACTCTTCTCTTTCTTCTAAACAAATTTCAATCATTCGCTTTTTACTTTTCAAGATTTTTCTTAAATTATGTGATATCAAAGTGTTACAATTAACTCAGGACGAAGGAAGTACATGTAGTACTTATTCTTAAAGTCAAACACTCTTAAATGAGCTTTTGCTGCTTTATACCAACTGAAAAAATGAAATATACGGCGTACACTTTAGATGACTCCTCTGCAACCTTATAAAGCAGGCCATGCATGATATACTCAAACTTGTCTGCAAGCGATATAGTCTTGCCCTGCAAATAGCGTAATCGTCAGCTTATTATATATTCTCTCCGTGCTAAACAAAAAAAAAACTGCTTTTAAAACTCAAAAGACAGTACAATTTTCAAGTAAGATTCCTATAAGTGATCACTCAAAATTTGTAATACCCGTTTACCTTAATCAAATTGACTAAAAAATGTGTACCTTACTCTAACATGAGTCTTTTAATGGAGGGAGGAGGCACTAGGTATGCTATTAGAAAGTTGAAGGCTTGAATTCTAGTTTATGAAAGAATGTTTTACACACTTTATGGGTAACTATTACAACTTTCAAGAATGGTATCTCATAAAACATGCATGCTAACATTTTTGGTGGCTTTCAAATATTAAGTTTTAAATGAACATATTATTCCATTCAACAGTTCCTATCTATCAATTGCTAACTTATATACTTCAAGTCTTTAAGAAACTGAATATTGATACAACCAAGCAAGTAATAGATGTATATTATACCTCAGGATGGTCATCTGAACCACCTAAATCAAGTGAGCGTGATAGCACCATCCTGTATGGCGTTTTTGTGGATACCGGATATATCTCTGAGTTTATTTCCAGCACCATATCTGTGATACCATCTTGACCCTTTGCATTAATCCTAGAAACTGAGAGGAAATAAAGAAAATGAAAACTTGTCAAATTAATACGGAGTAAAACTTACTCTGTGAAATGTAAGGATGATTCAATTGCAAATCACTCAATGATGTAAAACGTGCTGCGGGCGCACACATAAAAAAGATGTTACCTTTGTCGTATGTTATCCCATCAACATTAATTCCAACGATCTTGAAAGTCTCATCGAAGAGAATATTAGACATTTTGGCAGCAACACCCTAAATGAGAACTGGAGTGCTTTAAATGGGCCAAAACAAGGGCATTGCAACATAGAAGTTATGTGCATAAACAGTCAAGTGAAGATAATAGATTCATGAAATGAGAGCACTACGCAACATGCACACACGCACACACCATATACCCACTATGACACTAGCACTATGTTTGGTTCAACGAATTTGAAAGAAAGAAAAGAAAAGAAAATGATAAGGAAAACAAATTTTTTGTTTGGTTAGAGGAGAAAATAAAAGAGAAGTAGGAAAAGAAAATATGAGGACAAAACGAACTAAGAAGAGAGAAAACAAAATTCCTTCAATTTTGACGAGGAAAGAAAAAACTCAGGCTCTGTTTGGTACACGGAATTCAAGTCATGGAATTGGAATTGGAAACTTCAATTCCAATTCCGCTGTGGGATAATTTTGACACCTAAGCTTACAGGACGTCCCCACATAGCCAAACAAGATGTTGTAGAGATGAGAAGCGATACTTCCATTTCTCGATTTGTGCGTGTCATCCTTGCGCAGGGGCCATGTTAATCTTCTATGTATCGTTCCAATTTTATCGGATGTCCCCGAAGGGACGAGAAGCGATACTTCAATGTAAAACTTATGGGATATGAATTTTCATTGCTAAATTTCACCGTTTAAAGTATTAAACAAATTCTACTTCAATCTTTTTTGAAAGAATTCTACTTCAATCTTAAATATTTGATGAGCTATAAATTAACACCATCGATAGTGGAAGATCTAAGAAATAAAGTTGTTGAGGGCAACATCATTGAGGATAATACATGAGTTTGGGAACAACGCCTCCGAATTTTTCTGATACATATAATGAGAGAGGACAAAAGATTTAAGATTTTAATCTCAAACCATTACTCAACAGTAAGTTATTATATAGTTTAATTATGGTATAAGTTTAATGTTTCTCTTTAAATATTATTTTTTCGTTTTTAAATATTTCACTTTAATATTTTTTTTATTTTCATTTAAATGTTTTATTGTCCTCAACTTTTTTATTAATTAAGACTTTCAATTGGGGTTCATAATATTTTTAATTGGGGTCCTAAGTATAAAATGTTTTTAATAAAAAAATTACTCTCCCCATCCCTAAAAGGATTACACTCTTCGCTATTCAAAATTCACGAAATATTTATTTATTTATGCATTTTTATTTACTATATAATGAGATAAATCATTTTTGTTATCTCTTGTTTTAAAGCACTTTTGACGTAACTTTTAAAAATGTGAAAGTTTTATTTTTAACTTTTATATCAACCTTTAAATAAAATTAATTTAAAAAATTTAATATGTTGCTTCGTTTTGAGTAAAGTGTAAAACATTTTGGGATGGAGTATACCTTAAAGGCAAATGCCCCCAATTACCTTGAGCTAAGGTGGATCCAACACTGATCATCGGTGCACGTGTAGTCTTATGAATTAATGTGGATCGTTGAGTAAAAAAATCAGGGCCGGTCTTGAGAATTCATGGGCTTGGGCCGAAACTAGAAAAAAATCCTAAAAATCTCATCCTTATGGTCTAACAAATTAACACATGTAAACAAATTATATTTAAATGATAATTAACGCAATATTATTAGAAGAAAAAATAAATTCATATATCCTAAATTCATATCAATTCGTCAATTTTTCTATTTTTCTTTTTCAGCTTTAATTTTTTTTATATATCATAAATTCATATCAATTTGTCAATTTTTGAGTTTTTAATTTTTTTTAGTTTTCAGTTTTTTTATATATAAAATTATAAATATATCTTAAATTCAAATCAATTCATCAAAATCAAATAAAGAACATATAGAACCATTAATTCATTCTATTTCCTAGCAATTAGAAAAGATTTCAAATTAAAAATTAATAATTAACCCTAGATTATAAGTCTAAAGAATGAAAAAATGAAAGAAAAAATTACAAAATTGGAAAGCTATATATACGGAATACCTGGAGGTTGGTGGCTCGGCGTCCGGCGGCGTCTGGACTCTAGCGGCGGCGGCGGCGGCGTCTCTCTACCGGCAATTTCCCGATTTGGCGATTTTGTTCCGTCGAGCCCTGGTTTCTCGCTACATGCGTTATTATTTCTTCTTTTTTGTGTAGGATGGCCGATGGGGACTAAAGAGACGGGCCTTGACATATTGGGCCCCTAAAATTCATGGGTTCAGTCCGTACGGACTGTTTATCGCCCTATTGGGCTGGCCCTAAAAAATTTACATAAATCAAATAAATTTAATACTCCGTACAACTTTATCCAAGATTATTCTTGAAACTTTCAAAGAAAACAATTTTCAATAGATTTTTGTTTCGCAGGGAGTATTAACAAAGTAGAAGTCAAGCATTGTCGTTTCAAAACCATTTGTAACCATGTTGATAATCACTTTCAATCAATTTCATGTTACAGTTTCACGAGTAAAAAACATGATTAAAAGGTATTAGTTTAAGATGACATCGGGAGCCCGGACAACTCTACAAAAAATGTTGGGTATATCGAGATCTTAATAAAAGTTGGATTGAGAAAAATTGTCATGTTCACATTTAAATTCATATATTAGAATTTTCATCTATGTCATATCGAGAATGTGATTAGGGCTTATACGAAGAAGAGGTTGGAAGTGTGAGAACACCATGTTTTTTAATGTAAAAGTGATTTGGGTATTGAGATGTCCTGATATAGCCGGCCAATGTGTTTCAGAGACGGAAGTGTTACTTATTTGATAAATTCGTGCAAAATATTTTTAATTGCTAAATGTTACAATCACAATATTCATTCAGCTTGTGATACCAAATTTTTTACTATTACAGACCATTTTAGAGATATATATATACACACACACATATAAATAGGGGTGGTTCCTGTGAGAATGGACCTTGATGAAAGAAATAAGAATAATTTTGATCCCTTAGATTAGACGCATCGGACGAACCAAATCAAATTTAGACTTCAAAGCAAAGCTAATTTTAAATATGGTATGAATTAATGAATCGCATAAAATGTGGACCTAATTTACAATACAAGGGCATACTGGGTATCCAAAAAGTGAAAAATTCTTCAAAATCTTTTCAGCCGGCAATCGAATCTCTTATCGACCCTGCGTTCCAACTTCCAAGAAGGAATTGCACAGTTCTTCGCCGGCAACACGACAATTTCTTTCACTGGAGTGTACCGTGTGTTCTAAGAGGAATTTTAGTGATTGAGACAACCACATGTCCCATGAGGTACGAATCAATTGCGTTTTTTCTCTATTCTCATATTTAATTGTTCTATGGGGATTTTTGTGATGGCTTTTGCATATTTGATCGAGAAAACTGGAGGAGATTGATGCTAAAAAGCATTATTCAGAACTTACGAAATACGAAGTATATAGGTTATTGTGCATTTCTAACTCTATATATGTGTGATGCATGCATTTTTATCTTCTAGGTTTCCAATATAGATGTGAAGATCCCATCATATGCTTTTTGATGGGTGATGCATCATGATGTGCCCATAATGCATCCGTAATTCATCTATGACGCATTTGTAGGTGGGGAATGCTCATAATGAGTAGGTAAGGGATGCTCATAATGTGTAATTTGTATTCTATTTGTGATGCATCATGAGTAGGTAAGGGATGCTAATATTAAATATGCTCATAATGCATCTGTAATCTATCTGTGATGTCTCTTGATGTGCTCATAATGCATCGATGTGTGATGTATCTTGATAATTTAAGTGTGCATCTGTAGGTGGGGGGAGTTCCATTTCTACCATCTATCTGCGATGCATCTTGATATGTTAATAGTGCATTTGTAGGTGGGTGGGTTACTAAAGCTTCAAAACAGAATACAACAATCAGGGAGAATGAAGCAAATACCAACCCTCACCATTTCATCATAAGATAGAATAACTAAGGATTGTGTTCATAAGCGTCAGGGAAAGCGAGAAGTGAAACACGTTGATTAGGAGTCGTCTGAAAGCAAAAATCAACGATGATGCAATGAAGCTTTTAACCAGTGTCGAAAGAACATATTCACCACCATACTTTGAGCTATTGTATTGCATCTTGCAATATTTTTATTGCATGATTTAAATATGTATGTAACTAGTTTTGACTGTATTTGGTGAGTTCAAAATTCAAACTATTCATTTAGAAAAAATGTAATCATCTTTACTGTATGAATGATAGGTTGTGCCATTTTATTCTTGGTATTCACATTTTTCCAACATTGTTATTTTTACTACACTGTGTAAACTCATATCTCCATCCCCTTAACCTAAATATGCATCATTTCATCCTAACATATGCATTCTCTTTCTCAACAGTGTGCGTTTTAAGACAAATTTTGAAAGTACTCGTAGATATGTTTTGTCTTGCAGATATTATGAGACGATTCATCATTGTCTACACAGGTTTTTTTGATAATGCATTTTGACAGCCATATTGGTGCCTTTTTATTCCATATTGTCCGAGAACACACAAAAACCCTCAAAAATATCTTCGGTGTGTAGAGAAATTGAATTGGAAGATTTTGGTGGTATATAACCCTCTGGTTAATGCTTTTTATATGCGCGTCAGAAAAATTATCATCTTTGCTGGTTTGCTAAAGTATTTTAGGTTAAAATATTATCAGTATTTTAATATATATATATATATATATATATAGGAATTGACTCTAGTGAGATGACACCTTATGATGAGATGACATGCTTCGGTGAGATGACACAAAGCTCACCACACTACACTACAAAGCTCACCAATGGGCAATGCAAAGCTCACCTAGAAATAAAGTAAAGCTCACCACTTTGAACACCAAAAATCACATTTTTTTTTAATTTTGAAAATTAAAAATTAATAAAAAATAAAATAGGAACACCAGTCAACCACCGGTCAGCGGCGGTGCCATGCGGTGGAGCAGCAGCGGATTCCGGCGACCGGCGGCGGATTTGCATCATCTGACCGTAGCATGTCATCTCACCGTAAGGTGTTATCTCACTGTAGTCAATCCCATATATATATATATATATATATATATATATATATATATATATATATATATATATATATATATATATATATATATATATATATATATATATATATATATATAT